CAAAACGTATGAGGTAAAAAGTCGTCAAGGGCCTTTTGGATACGGATGAGTAAAAATTCTTAATATGATAGCCGCATTGGTTTTAAAACTTTTATTCTTAACTTTGCCCATAAACTCGAAAAACGTTACAGACGGAACTCCCATGTAGACTAAAATGATATTCATTTTGCTCGTAAAAGTCTGCGGGTAATGTTTTTGTCATCGGCAACTTGACATGCTCTCACAAACAGTAAGGAGACAATACGAAGAAAATGCTCTGATTAAACAACTTCCTATCGTTCCCTGCTTGGTTGGAGAACATAAGAAGTTGTTATGTTCTCCAACCGAGCACTAATTAAAAAAATGTGACGCAATTACAGGTCAATTTTTCAATGAAAAATACACTCACGAGAATATCAATTTTTAAGTTGATTCTAGTCATATACTTTTTCTAAGAGTAGTATTGTCCCCCAGACGGATATTTTACGCATAAGAACGTATCGAATACATTTTTTTTAGATAAAAACCCTTCTTTTGTTTTTGTTCAGATCGGCTTGGCCAACTAATTGTCATCCTCAGCTGCAGTGGGTGCGTCATAAGCTTTCTCCCAAATCATAAAAGCTCAGTATTAGATACAGTCTTTTGCGCTGATTACGAATATCAACTTTAGAATGAACGAAATTGAAATTTTTAAACTGAAAGCACAAATTTTAAATTCTGAAGCTTTTTTAAGTTATTTCAATTTCCTGACCTATTTAATTTTGCACAAAATTCTAAAGTATTCGCTGAATAAAGAATTAAATTCTCTACAAAAATGTGCTATTGATTTTGTCAAAACAATCTGAAAAGCGTATCTTACACACTAAACAAGTTTTTAATGGTTTTTGTTGAAATCAAAATGGTGGCAATTTTACGAAAATCAAAAACATTTTTCCCACCGTTTCTTCGCTTAGTTCGATAGAGAGCACTCGGTTGCATAAGGTTCTATGCGAATCAAATTTCTAAAGGTATTGTTACTGTAGAAATATACCAATAAAACACACCGCAAACGAAGGAGAAAAAGTGATATAATTCCGTGACGACATCTATTATGCTTATAAAAGCCGTTCTACAGAACGGATTCATGGTGGTATACCGGGGAATGTAACAGACTGGTACCGCAGCGGTAATCGAGAGGTATCTAACCGGTTCTGGTGACATGGCGAGAATGTTAAATAACCTAAACGCGCGTGACGGAATTGCATTTTTTCAACTCTTGAGCTCTGTTTCTTCTCAATTTTACGTAAAAAAGCGTATTCGATACGTTCTCATGCGTAAAATATCCGTCTGGGGGACAATACCACTCTTAGAAAAAGTATAGACTAGAGTCAACTTAAAAATTGATATTCTCGTGAGTGTATTTTTCATTGAAAAATTGACCTGTAATTGTGTCACGCGTGTTTTCTCCCCTAAGAAGAGCCCACCTGGACCACTTTTACGCATACCTAAGTATGTGTGCTCTGTATAGATGCACATTTCCTGAAAGTTTCATTGAAAACGGAGCTTGGAAAAAAACGGAAACGTTACTCTACTGGACACATGTTTTGAGAAAACACCTGGCTGAAGGAAAACCCTTTTTTTCTATCACAGAAATGAGTTGAACTGAAAATTTCTTTTATGGATAGATAGCCCAAACATTCAGCTTTTAGAATATATGCATTTCAATTTTTAACTCTATCGTTCTTCTGACACGAAAAGCGACGTTCTCAAAAATAGCAGAAAAATAAGCGAAAACTGAAACTTACCGGTCTCGGTCACTTAAAGCAGATGAATCGAAATTTTTTGCCATTAAATTTGTCGTTGGCTATTCTATATGAGACACTATTTGAATCTTGAAAAAATTTCGCTTTCGTTTTTTCTCCTAATTTTCATGTGGTTGTCCACTGTGTGCTATTAAAAATTTCACTTCAGATGTAGCTGACAATTACTGTCGAAATTCTGTTGGATTTTCAGCAATTGTCGAAGTTCATTGTGAATACTACAATGCGAAGAAAATCATATTGATTGTCGATATTGTTGGTAACTTTGCTTGGTATATTCGACAATACTACCAAAATATGAGAGCTGCTCTTACTCTGAAGAGCAACTCTGAAAAACAACCAAAGCTTTTTTTAATGAGCCATGCTTGTAGTCCGCACATTTCTGATTAAAATGAGACCTCTCTCAATTTTACATGACCTTTCTTTGCAAATTTATAAAATTTACGAGAAAAGCCCTAAATATTTATTGTCAACTCAAACCTACAGGAATAAGAAGAAATTAATTTAGGGCTTTTCTTGTATAACTTTGCAAAGAAAGGCCATGTAGGATTGGGAGAGGTCTCATTTTAATCAGAAATGTGCGGGCTACAAGCATGGCTTATTAAGAGAAGCTTTGGTTGTTTTTCAGAGTTCCTGAAAACTTATTTTCCAGATAACCGGGTCTTCGAAGCCATAAGAGCAACTCTCATATTTAGATTCGGAATCAGCATCATCGATAACCGATGACCCACTAGGTTTCGTTGGAAAGCGAGGGGACACTTAAGAACGTTCCTTTGTTAGTTACCTTACCTTGAAACATGCACTGTATCTTCTTTCTGTTCTTTCATTCGTCTTTGTGCTAATAAAGAGAAGAAAACAATTGTGCGGGCAGCATATCAAAATTTGATGATTTTTTCTAGAGAAGCGGTATTTGGGATTTTTACATATTCGGAATCAGCATGATGAGTTACGTTGTAGGACGTAAAGATCTCGTAAAAAAGCACAATCAGCAGTTCGAATTGGCAAAGACATCGGTGAATGGTTTCAAGCAAATGTAAGAAGATCCACTCCTCTTCATCGCCTACCTTGAAAGAATAATGGACACGGTAACGGAACAAGCCTGTGGAGTCAACGTCAGCGGAACAGTAATAAACAACCTGCGAGTTGCAGATGACATCGACTTACGAGATGAAAAATGTGACTCACTTCACCAGCGAATCGAACGAGTGAAGGAAGCTGCCGAGAAAGCAAGGCTGATAATAAACGTAGGCAAAACGAAAACGATGGTAGGCAAAACAAAAGTGATAGAAACATCGACAAACAAGCTCAAATAGCAGGTCAAAGTATAGAGAACGTCGAAATATTCGACTATCTTGGGAGCCTGATAATCTGGGACAACAACTGCTCAGAAATCTGAAAATTCAACCACAACGTGCAGAAGTAGTGACTGATTGTGGTGAATTACAAGAACAATGTGCACATGTAGCAAATGATTGTGATAAATTAGAACAACAACGTGAATGTGCTATTAAATCTGTTTCTGTTCAAACTGATATTGAAGATGCTTTTGCTAGAAGTGTGGTTTTAAGTTTAACAGCTGATGATACATTAATTAATACTGTTGTCCCTCAAGATGTCCTATCATGTCATTTTGAAAATGACATCGAAATCCATAGTTATAAGAATAATCCCATGCTTTACTAACAATCTTAAATGAAACATCTTCGTATGGTGTTGGGGAATGTATATCATAATGCTTTTTATTATTTTGATTCCAATCATAACCAGTATAAACTTTATTAAAAACTCGAGGTTTGCGTGGTCGATATTTATCAGACCACAAAGATAGAACATCTTGAGGGGACAATCGTATTAATTAATGTATCATCAGCTGTTAAACTATCCACACTTCTAGCAAAAGCATCTTCAACATCAGTTTGAACAGAAACAGATTTAATAGCACATTCACGTTGTTGTTCTAATTTATCACAATCATTTGCTACATGCGCACATTGTTCTTGTAATTCACCACAATCAGCTACTACTTCTACACATTGTGGTTGAATTTTCAGATCAGGATCATTAATATTAACTAACATAGGTGAATAATGACTTTGTTCATAATTACGTGGATATTTATCTACCAAATCTTCAAATGATTTAATTTGATTATCATTAATTAAATCAACTTGATTATTTTCATTCTCTTTTTCCTTTCGCGGTATTGGGAAAGTTGAAGAGACTTTTGATGGACTTTATAGTTGAAAAGCTTTAATAATTTCAATCTAGAACGTGGACCAATCAAGAATATTAGATTTATTGAATCTAAACCACGTGGCAGCAGTCTTTGTTAAATACGATTGTGCAGCTATATATTTATTTGATGGTCGTAGTTGTGCTCGATCAAATACTAACTTTGGCAGCCGTTACCACCCATACAAACATGGCACCCTTTACCGCTTATACAACCATATTATCCGCAAGCACAACAACATTATTTTTGAGCACGTGTGGCGTCTCTACAGTGAACTTTTCAGTGGTATATCCAGTCAAGAATATACCGGAATTCAATTAATAAAATCGATCAGACTTCTATTCATCGTGTTTCTTAAGAAAACAGATCTTGAATAATAGAGCAGATTACACGGTAACAGAGTTAGGTTAATAAAGCTGATATCAAACTCTGTTCCTGATTTAAGCAAACAGAGTTTCCACTCTTTCTAGATTGAAGATTAAAGCTGCTTTAAAAATTTTGCTGCTATCGAACAGTCTCGTCAGCCTTTCCCTCAATAGAAGCCCCCTTTGCGGAAACCATACGTCAGACTTAATACAAGAGTTCTCTTACTTAATTCTTTGAGTCTCAGTGACAAGGATCCTTGTCACCATTCGAGAATTTTCAAATTTTCGAGAAGTTTTAAGAATCTTGAAGAAATATTCTCAATAAATATTATAAGCTAGCAGAGATCCGTGCAATATTGTACAGATTATAAGGTGAGAGTTTAAATCTAAATTTTTTTTAAAAATAATTTTGAGAAAAAAATGGTCTGAAACAGGGAGAAGTGCAATAAACTTTAAAAACCACGTTTGTGAAAATCCTGTAACTAGTCTCAAAAACTTCATTCTCCAAGGCAGGCAGTTTTGTAGAACTAGTGCATAAACAGATCATTTTTCGAGATCTGATTTTCTTAGCGAGCTTCGAGTGTAGACTAAAAATTGTTTTCACAGATTTATCTCGTAGGTAACTAATGTACATGTGGCACTATTCAAACACAATTTGCCTCAACCTCACTTTTTTATTTTTTGTCAGCTGGTTGCTTGATTGCTCACTGTGAAACTGTGTTTCTCTATTTAGAGTAAAAGAAATACTGTGTTCTAAGAGAAAAAAAGTAAAATTGTGTTTAATAAAAGAAACAAGTTTTCTGTTTATAGCAAGTTCTTTTGAATATAGACAACAACAAAGTAAATGTTAAAAAAACATCACAAAAAGCTAAAAAAAAGAGGAGATGAGTAACGTCAGCAATCAATGATTTGTTTCACCATCCTGAATAACTTTTATTTGGATCCTACACCTGTCCTTTTCCATATTTATTCTAACAGATGCTAACAGATGCAGCTATGGAATAGCCAACTCTCTCAACTTTTCTTCATTAAGATGGTCCAGACGTCTATTATAAACGAACTGCTCAACTGAAACAGGTACCAACTGAGCCAGCATCTCTTTCATTTGCTCGTATGAAATTTGTTTTTGACCTTTAGCAAGTTCCGCTTCATAGGCTTGTAGAGCTAGAAGAACGAAAAAAGGTTATGTTAGAAAGTTTGGCAGAGAAAGAGAAAGAGAAATACCATGATAAGCAGCTTCCGGAGCAATTGATTCACGTTCATCTTTGCTTTTCTCTTCCGAACTTCTTTGATCAATCCAAGAGGGAATTTCACCGGGTACATAATCTGATGCTAGTTTACTTTTATGGAACAGATTGTAAAAATAAGCCATTTTTTTGAAGAAGTATAAATAAAATGACAAAGAAATATTTTCTTTTTATACTTGTAAGAGGAAAAGAGAGGGATTCATTTTAATGAATAAGTATCTAAAGCACATATTACTTCCTTCTCTCTCTGTTCTTCCTGTTAATACGAAAAAAAATATTTAGACAAGAAACATTTGAAGGCTTTTCTTTCTTAATTATGATATGAATAATATTTGTTTTTGATTAACAGGGGCGGCGCGAGCGGCAGGGTACCCCTCCTGCTATTGAAACTTTATCGGCAGCTTTCTCCCGCTTTAGAGAAAAATTTTGATCAATTTTCTCTCAAATTGGAGAAAGTTTCTAATGAGTTTTCTCCGATTTTGAGAGAAAGTCTCCACCGAAATTTTATCAATTCTGAGAGATGGTTTCTGATGAACTTCTCTCAAACTGAAGGAAGTTCTGATAAAATTCTCAAATTTTAGAGAAATTTTTCTAATGAATTCTCTGTAATTCGTAGAGAGTTAAACTGTACCTTACTCTCACATTGGGGGAACTGTTAAATGCTCTATTTTCTTCAGATTGCAGAGTCACCAGACTATTTTTTTATTAATTTCAGAAAACTAGGACTCTAGCTTTCTACTACTTTGTGTAATCAATAAGCAGCTTTTGAGTTTTTTGGTCTCTATTGCAATAGTTAATCATATTTTAGAATAGAATATTTCCTTGATCTGAAATTTAAGCTTTGATTTGAGCAAAAAGTTATTTATAAAGTGTGAAAAATGGGCAGACAAAGATGTTTGATTATCATATACAGTCGCAAGTGACCATAAAAATAACTAAATAGGATCGAAGTTTAGCGTTTGTTTAAGCCACTTGTTAATATTTAGAGATAATTTATTAATTTTCGCCTTTTTGCTTCAAGAAAAAATTAAAATGTTTCAAAATAAAATTAGAAATGACTTTTTCTGTTCTTTTGTGAAAATTAGTAACTGTAACACTAATCAACAACCTTTGAAACAACACCAATTAGGATCATTCATTGTGGAATAGCTGCACCCACCACCGGAATTACAATATCCTGTAGAAAAACTAGGGTTACAACCATAAGGAAATTTTCCAAGGCATTTGCCATCACAGGAAGTTGATACAGGTGCTACCGTAACTGTTACAGGTGCATCTGTTGGCGCATTTGTCAAAACTGGTGGGTTTGTGCTAGATGATTGTTGATTACAACCATTGAAGCAACACCAATTTGGATCAGTGGTAATAGAATAAGTACATCCACCTCCTGCGTTGCAATACCCATATTGAAAGCCAGAATTACAACCATATGGGTATTGACCTTTGCATTTACCATCACAGTGGGCTGTTGTAGGTGCTGCTGTAGGTGCCGCTGTAGGTGCTACTGTAGGTGCCGCTGTAGGTGCTGCTGTAGGTGCTGCCGTAACAGGTGCAATTGTACTAGAACCTGTTCCAACTGAACATTTAATTCCTGATATGATTCCAGGTTTATGAATTCTTTGTGTTCCTGTTTTTAAAAAGCAAATAACAGACAAAACCCATGAATTACAGGCTGCATTCGCATTGCACGCAGCACAGCAAGCTTTTGGATCTGATGTTTGAATAACCCCAAGCTCTCCACCGGTAATGTCACTATCCGGGAAAAAATAACATCCGTTAAAGCACGTGGGCGTTGGGTCTGGAACTGGAATTGGCGGTGTTGTTGTATCACATCTATCGCCATACCAACCATCAATGCAAACACATGGTTTATTTGTAACAAGCAAATCTTGTCCAAGATATTGAGCAGCACAGTTGCCATTGACGCAGCCAGCAGCAGCGCAAGTGCCAATCTTACAATTTGAACCAGAAAATCCAGGATTGCACAAACACTCTCCTGTCGCACAATCACAGTATCCATTTGTACAACCATTCGGGCACTTGCCAGGACAATGCTCAACATTACTTAATTTTGGTTGAGATTTACAGTCAACGGGTGACATGTCAGGAAAAGACG